CGGGGGGAGCCCGGGCGCGGCGAAGCCTGCTTTTGCCACAGCCCCTTTCGCGGGCCGGTGACCCCGGGCCGTGTCAGGGCCCCTCGCTGGCCGCCCTGCCCTGCCTGAGGCCTGGCCGCCTCCTGGAAACTTTGGGCGTGCGGGAGTAGTTTTACACGAGTCTGTCGCCTCAGAAGTTGTCGGTCCTTTCCCCGCCTGCCCGCAGCGCTGCCGTTACCAATAATGACGCGTTACCACCGCGTTGCCCAAGCAAGTGCCTTTGGGTGCCGTGCAGCCAGTGCTGCCTTGCCTGGGGAGGCCTCGCAGCAGGCTGGAGTTGCCCAACCCTTTGGCTCTGCTAGCTGCTCACGGGCCACAGTGTCAGCTGGCTGCTGAAATGGTTTGGGTTCAAGATAACTCTTTCTAGAAAAAGAACGAGCAGGGCATATTCTTTTATCATTGATCATTCTAATTATCTGGTTTACCTCATGGTCCTACAAGCACTTGTATCGGCAAAGCAAAGGGGAGCAGTAAACAATGGCAAAGGAGTGGGAACTTGTTACGTTTATTATGCCGAAGGCAAGAGGCAGCTTGCTGCTTAAGCAAGCTTGCAGCCTCAGTCAAAACCCTGTTGCATATGTCACTGTAAGAAAGTTTGCTCTTAAGCAGAGACTGTAATCTGAATATATGATGAGAGCCAATTTGGGCTGAGCAGGTGGGTGGAATATGCAAAGCAATAAAATAATTTGGATCATTACGATATGTGGTGATTGCAGTTCACCAGCTGTTTGAGCTCTAGTAGGAAGTGTGACAAAAATTTTTAACAGGAATTTTGGGGGGGGGGGAAGGACATCAGTTTGGTTTTCCAATAATAGCGTAATCCTCTGTCTGTGTCACTTAGGGCACTTTTTGCTGTGTGCAAAGAGAGTCTGCAGGTGGGGTATATACAATGTAAAAATGTTAAACAGTTATTGGTTAGCATGCACAAAAGAAACAGTGAGGCTTTAATGAGCTGCTAGGCTAAGCATTCATCTGCTCGCAACCCCTGCTAACACACCAGGCAGCCATGCAGACGTCCCTCAGGAGGGGAAGGCTCAGCCTCTGCTGCTCAAAGTTGCTGAGTTGCTGTATTCTGGCTCCCTGGTGGTTTTTTTTTTGTTTGTTTGTTTTAGTTCTTATACCTTTTTGTTTGTGGTTTTCCTCCTGAGTGCTTGTGCTACTAATGGTCCATATCTCAAAAATGTTACCTCTCTGCAGCTCTACCTTTCTTATCTTGGCGTGGCCCTACTGTGCAGCTTCTTAGAACATAGCAGCTTCCTCAGAAGTTGGAGCCAAGGTCGTGCAGCTGCACTGTATTCAGCATGGGCCTTGGATCCACACCAACAGCCATGGGAAAAGGGCAAGGGAAGGTTACAGGGAGAGTGTTTTTCTTCAGAAGGAAGACATCTGAAAAGGTCTCCGAGTGACATGAGCTTTCAGAGCGTAGAGGCAGTGCGGAATATTTCATGCTGAACTAGGTGGGATGGATTCTGAAGGGCTTGAAAAGTGAAAACCCAAAGAGACTTTCTGACACAAGAGAGCTGGGCATTGTAGCCAGGAATATGGAAAGGAAGCATGATGAAATGAAAAAATTAATTTGGAAAAATGGTGTGAACAGATGGAGGTGAAAGCATGTGACACTTCTCTAGATGGACTTGACAGGAAGAAGCTTAACTAGTTGATGGATTGGGTGTTATTTTAACTGGATGGATAGAAATGAAAGGCAATTATGGATGAAGTGTTAAAAATGTAGCTTGGATGTTATTCTTTTATATCATTGCTAAAGCAGGTGTAGTGGGAGGTAGTTTGTGGCTGTATCTGCATTAGGAAGCTGTTTTTCCTGTCTTTCAAGGGGGGGGGGAATAGGTCCGTAGTGGTGTAACTTTAGATTGTACTATGTAGAAGCACATACACCGCTACTGCTCTGAGCAGGATGGAAGGACTTGCTGGTAAAAATGCACATACTGGGAGTGTGCTGGAGATTACGTTGCTTGGTACTGCAGAAGAAGTAGGATCTATGTGGGTTTTTGTCATCAGCACACCCTCAGAATATATTTCTCGTTATATACTGCATGAAGGCACCTGGAGATTCTGTCAGATGGATCCAGGGCTTGTGTTACTGTTTCCCTCATTGGTGGGTTGGGCACCTTACAGTTCTGAAGGAAGGTGCAGTCTGAGCAGTTTTCATTCCAATGGACAATATACAAATAAGGTTGCAAAGAATGGATGAAATATAAAAGCAGCGTGGATGTACTAGCACAAATGGTAACCACCAACACAGGAGTTGGTGGAGAATAAGCTGCAAAGGGCCTTATAGTAGGTCATGATGGTTGCTAAAGCCTTGACAGAATCTAGCCCAACGTGTTCCTCCTCTCTCTGTTTTCACTAGTGGTCTGCCAGGCTGCTGCTGGGTGGTCCTGGGGGTTTTAGTACTGGAGCTTGAACTGCGTCAAGACACTGTCTATGCATTGGGATTCATAAACTCTTGTGCTGGGTGCAGATCGTCTATTGCTTCCAGTGATAGGCGGGTGCTGGAACCTGTGTTTTAACTGCCTGTTGCTCAGGTCCAATAGTGGCTCTGCAGATTCATCACATGGATTAAGTGCAAGCTTTTCCTGGAACTTCACTGAAGAGTTTAATGACTACTTGGCTTTTAACTAACGTGTTGCTTTAGAAGCTATAGGTTAACTTTTAGGCAGGGGTTTATCCCCCCCTCTTGCATGATCGAGATAATTTTTGAACAACTTTCCTTTAGACTTGAGTGATATACCTGCAAAATACCTTGAAAGGCAAAGCGTGATCACACTGGGTCCCAAGTGCATGCAGTTGGTGGTGGGGGCAATTACTAGCCTTGAAATATTTAAACAAGTGAGTCCAATCGTAGTAGCAGTGGCAAGTCAAGGGATATTGGATTCTAAAAGCAAAAGTATCTCAGTTCTTATTCAGAGTCTTTATAAATATTGATAGAGGTCCAGGGCTTTGGCATTAACAAACTAATATAGATCACATTATTTGCACTACCTTTTTCAGATAGGGAATAAATGGTTTGCCAAGTAAGTCAATACGTGAAAATACCATCTTGTCATCTGTTTGTTTTCTTTTTATTTAGCCAAGAAGTGTTACAGTATATTTTTTTGAGGGGTCCACACTGAAAAAAATACACTTATTCATGTTTGGTTGTATGTGGGGGTTGTGTATATGTATCTGTAATCTTAAAAACTTTCAGGTTTGTTAGCCTAGGCAATTAAATGCAAAATACAGTGCTTGATGGGCTGCATGCAAGATTACAGAAGTTACGAGTGTTGGATCCTGATGTCATTATAGTGTAGATGTGCATTAGTGTTATGTTCTCTACAGTAGTATTTTTGCTATTACAAGATGATCTATGGAATAATAATAAGTCTGTACAGGAGCTGAGTGACAATGTGGAGCAGCCACAGTTTTCAATGTGCACAAGTCTGAGTAAACCTCAGACTCAAAATGTCAGGTTCATTTTTCCTGTGGATATTCTAATGAAAAGCTAACAGGGATGTGTTCACCAGAATGTCACATGTTTGGTTGGAATCTCTGCTGTGAGTTCTGGAATGAAATGGAAAGGAGGTGAATGGTTGGATGTGCTCATCCCTTTCTTCCTGACTGGATCAGCTGACCCCGGGGTTGATGACAGATAAAGCAAGAGTCTGCGGCCTGAACTTCTGTCTGCCATGGCTTTTATCTTCCTGCCTTTGAGCTGCCAAGACTCGTGCTCTGTCGAGGTTTCGTTTAGTTCCAGATGAAGCGTCTTGGATCTTCTGCTGCACAGCAAAGTACTTGCTGTTCTAAAAATCCACCCGCGTGTGCTTCTCTTGGCCTTGAGGGGTAGTTCTCCTGTGCCGTCAGTGACTATAGCAGGATTCACTTGGCGGCATGTGTTAATGGGACTGACCTATTGACAGTATAAATTATCCATTTGAACCTAAAACATGGAAAATGCATTGATGCTTTTTAAATGTGATGTGTTTAAAGGATAATTGTTAACTATATTCAGTGTCGTTGTTTTCATAAGCTGTCACGGTGTCCTGATAATTTGACACCTCTACAACTTATTTATAAATGTTTTGTGCATTTAACTGTTGTTTTCTGCAGCTGCCTAGAAGGTCCCCATTAGCAAAATGCAGTTTCCTGTTTCTGTCTTTATGACATCTAGAAAATGTAATTGCATAAAGTGAAAAGAAAAAGCCATTTGTACAGCCTGATCATCATAGGTCATGAAACAAGCACAGCCTAATAAAGTGTTGGCACGAAAGGCGACTTTTACTTTTCTCCCCTTGCTCCTCCATATGCTCATTTGTAGAATAGCAAATTATAAACAAGAACATTATTTAATCCTTGCCTCTAGCAGTCTTCCTTGTATGTGCTCTGTGCGGCTTTGGTTGAGAGAATATGAATCCCAAGTCCCATTTTGACAAGAGACTAGAATTTTCACATGATCATGCGATCCCTCTGATGCTCACCCAGCATCAAGCCTTTGTGTCTTGTGGGATTTAGATTCTTCTGTCTTTCTGGAAATGTAGGAAAAGTGTTAAAATGCAGCTCTTAAAGTCCAGGGACTAAGCAGAGCGTATTGATCCCTTCCCATTCACGTACACATTTGCTGTGAGAACGCTGACCTAGAAGCACTGAGAGTTAGTTTATTAGTTTTGACATCGGGATTCGTTAGCTGTAATTCAATTAGAAGCACGCTGATGGATGTGTTTGTATGCTGGGGCTGGCAGCTGCTTTAGGTTCAGAAACTTAGAATTCTAGTTTTGTGCAATCTTGGGTAAGATTTGTATTGCTAGGGTAAAAGTGACATCGTTCTTGATTTGGTTTTTAATAGATTTCTCTCTGTTTCCAATTATGTTTCTAATTAGAATAATGTCTTATTTCCCATGACAGTTTAAAAATAATGCAAAGTCTGTAAAAGAGAAGCTATCAAGATGATTGAATAATGTTTTCTTTTCCATTTGTTAGACTGAAACCTTTTTCCATCTTAATTGGATATATAGACCTACTGTATATTGGTATTTACAGAAGGTTATGGTGCAGTAGTTGCTAAGCTTTCTTCTGTCAATGTGTCTTGGGGCCGTTTCCATTCTCACCCCAGCACACACACCAGCCCTTAACCAGGCAGCTGTGCATATTCCCTTTCTAGCAGGAAGACAGAACACCTCTCCGCCTTTCTGTATAAATCTCAGCTTTTCAGGGGTGAGATCTGCTGCTCTCTGTCCTACCCTTTGCTTTCCCATCCAGGCAAAGCTCCTTCCCTTCACGCCTGGAGTAGGGTCTTTTGCAGAGCATTGTTTCTCCAGGCCCAAAGATGTTTTCCTGCCGCTTAGAACTGAGATTTACGGCTCAAGGGATGGATGTCTGAATAACAGACTCTGGGAGCCTGAGAGTCCTAGTTGAGAACATAGTTGTAGTTTAAGACAA